AGGCTCTGCTTCTCAGTGTCCTGGTAATCGCTGCAAGCCCCTTGGAGAGAAAGCTGCCCTCGGGTTCCAACCGATGCCAGACAGTCCCGCTTCTCCCGTATGAGTCTGGGTCCCTATAGACTCGCCCGGATCTGGAGCTCAGAGCCTGAGACTCCCTCCTGATTGAAAATGACAACCGCGCCCTCAGCCGCCAGCCCGCTCCGCATGCACTCCGCACCTTAGTATTTTACTTCAGCACTGCGCCTCCTCTGAGTCTCAGTATGCTTTTCTCTTTCCTTCTAGTTGTAGAATTTCCACTCAGCCAGCCTTTCTGTGGTTCTGGATGATGTCCTTTCCGTCTCTTAGTTGTATTTTTGAAGTGGTTGTACGAGGCAGCAATCTCCGGTGTTTACCTATGCTACCATCTTGGTTTCTCCCACATTTACATTTTAATAGTTGTGGTTGTCTTTTGTGAAGAAGAAAAAAAGTGGGGAGGGTTTGGGGGAACTTCCTTAGGAGATTTGTTTCATAAGGGTCATATTGAGGGAACATTTACTCTTAGTTGTTCATTTGTTAAATAAAGAATCCTTCCCTACCTTAATATGTAATAGCTCAGCTACTCTGATGAAAGCAGAAGTAATCAGTTTATTCTATGCTTGGATATCAATAGTAGGTTACTCAGAAATGACAAAGATCCATCAAGCATATAACATGGTTTTTTTGAAAATGTAGTCATTTGACAATGATGCCAGTTGTTTCTTCAAACTCCAAATTTTAGATCAAATTAAACCCTGAAAAGTGTTTGACAGCATTGCTGCCTGCAACATTAATAGCTTTGTGTTTTTCCTCCCAGAGGCAACAGAAAAAAATTCTTAAGATTATTTTCCCTATAAACATTTTTTGTTTTTACTTGCTACATGCAATTTTTCACCTTGGTAATTTTAGCTCTTATTTTGATCCATAGTTTGAGCTGACTAGTGAAAATAAAAGCCTTTTCCAAGAGATTAAAAATCATGATAATGGCCATTAAAAGGTTTGTGAGAACATATCTGAAAATTTAATTTAATCCAAGAAATCTTTATGGTGTTTGCCCTGTCAGTTAGACTTAATTATAATTTTTTGAAGAATAAACAGCTAGTTATTTTTTGGATGTGTCTGAGCCATGTTGTTACTGTTAATGATCTTTTCTTTTTATTTCATTTTTTTAAAATACTTTTATCTGCTCTATCCCTTTTATTATTTTTTTTATTTTTAAATCCTCATCCAAGGATATTTTACCATTGATTTTAGAGAGAATGGAATAGAGAGGGAAAGACAGAGAGAAACATCAATGTGAGAGAAACACATGAGTTGGTTGCCTCCTGCAGGAGCTCTGACCAGGGCCTGGGGCTGGGGAGAAGCCTGCAACCACTGTAGGTACCCTTGACCGGAATCGAACCCCGACCCTTGGGTCTGCTCTACCCACTGAGCCAAACTGGCTAGGGCTTAATGCTCTTTTAAATGACTTTTATATTAGGGTCTAAATCATAGATATGCTTAAATTTGGCATGAATTATATTTATAAAAATTATACAAAGTGTAAGTAATATTTATTGTGTTCCTGTAAAGAAATTAAATGAAGTAATAATAGCTTATCCTAGTTATAAAACCCAAGAGTTAAATTGACTTCATTGACAGGATGTGGGGACTTTGGAAACTAATAATTACAAGTGATTTATTCTTCAGGCAGTGCTAGCAAGCTAACACTATATAAAGAATAGAAAAATATCAGCTTCCAAAGTGGTTACAGTAGAGTACTGTCATTTGAAAGGAGTTTTTATTTTGTTGTTTTTGGTTTTGTGTATGTGGGTATGTTTTTAAGGAAATTTTCTAACATTTATAAGGAAATTAATTACGAACATTTTAATGCTTTTTAAATTACCGGTAAAAGATCAAATTCTGGTTATAGAGCATTAGATTCAGACCATGCATTAGGATCTGATAATAACATTTGTTTCACTCCTATCAGATTTAGATAGAGGTATGGAGCAGCAAGGATTGTTTTCTCCATTACTTGGCTAGTTTATGAGCTTTGGGATTCTTTGTGATTGTATACGGGGAGGTTGCAATTCTACTCGTATATTTGGATGACAAAGAGACTTGATCAGACTCCTCATAACATCAGACCTGCAGCTCTGAACTCTGCCAATAAGCATTGAGCTGTGCTGTCACAATGATAGACACACTTTAGGGGGCGGAGAAGAAGCCATTATAAAGGAAGAGCTCTTGCTTCCCTAGAGGGGAATGAGCTAAAGAGATTCCATCAGATGAGTCTGCTCAACTGAAACGAGGTCTGTTGTATAAACATCACATCTAGGCTAATAATGTAGCAGAATTGCTCTCTGAAATGAATTGTGCCAACAGCAATACCTTTGTCAGTGATGAGGAATAGATAGTGCACATAGTGTGGAATAAATGTACAGAAGACCCATAGATACAATAGGGTCATCCTTTATAATACTGAGTTACTAGAAAGAATAATAGTAAATTATTTCATGCATATGTGGAATTTAATGAACAAACTGAACTAACAAGCAAAATAGAGACAGACTCATAGTGAGAGAGCAGGCAGACAGCTTTGGTGGTGGTGGGGTGGGGGGGTTGTGGGGGAGGAGGGATTGAACAAAAAAAAAGAACTCATGGATACAGGCAACAGTATGGTGACTACAGGGGAGAGGAAGGTGGGTGAAAGTGGGAGAGGGTAAAGGGGGGATAAATGGTGATGGAAAAAATACAATAAAGAGAAAAAAACAAGAATAATAGTAGAGATTGTAGTGATCATAAAAAAATTATTTTAAGAATAATGACTAATCATTGTTGGGGAAAGAGCCAAAGATATAGGAGATATTATTGCCATTGAGAAGAGAGAAATGCCAACAAACAAAAAAATCTTCTTTAAAGGGAAACACTGAAGTATAATTATTCTGACATTGACTTTAAATTGATATTAATCTATTTTCATTTTTCCTAAATAGGTGAATTTTTCCTGAAAAATTTAGTGGCTAAAAGAAAAACAAAAGCCCTGTAACACTTAACAAGACATTCAAGATCACAGGAATTTTTAGAACTGGATTCCATTTGCTAACAGAGGTGGTGGCAGAATGCCTAGGCTTCACTGGATGAACCCTAATTTTTGTTTTAAGAAAAATGTCAATAAGCTGTGCATATTTAATTATAGCAATTTATTTGCCTTTTAACATATCCTTTTTGTCCCAATAGACAGTTGCTTGCTGTGATGTAATCATAAAACATCCTTGTAAGAGCTTACTGGTTTACAGTATAATTTAAAAATACATTGAAAACTTCTAGCAAACCTTAAGCCTCTCTTACTTGTGCATCATTGATGCATTGCATTTCTGATAAATAACATACTGTGATGAAACAGGCAATATAGCTGGAGACTCTGATCAGATTACGTGTAATTAGATTTGTTCTTCACATAACAGTATAACATCATTGGGATGATTTAGAAAGGCTTAAGAGCTTGCATGTTGACTTTTACATTGGTGTGACCACTTTAGTTCGGCAAAATAGTTTTGCATCGATTACTTGTTTAGGGCCTCTGGGAAACCAAGACCACGATGTTGTCCGAGACAGGGAAATGTGATCTAAGGGTAGTTTACTATCACCATGCACTGTCCCTTTTATTCCTCACATTGCTCTGAGGAGGCGGTTGTATGCATAATAGTAGTGATCTGAGTAAGGAATTTATTTCCTAAGTACTAGGAACTTTTGACTGAATCTTGTCTGTCTTCTACATCTCACAAAGGAAGTCTTTAGGTGGCTATATTGTAAAATATGTAATGTGGATAGCCAGTTCTGTTTTGAGTTTTAAAATGTGTGAACTAGTATTTTTAATAAAAATAATGCATAACTTTGAAAATTAGTACATTTTAATTTCACTCATGGTAATCAAACATACTTTGATTCACTTTCTTTAGAGATCCTAGTAAATTTTGCCGTGTAAAATTAACTCCATCACTTTAAATGTAAACATCTCTGACAACCATCCTCCCTAAAATCTATTCTTTCACGGGAATAATAGATAGGATTCTAATGTTTCCTCATTTTGCACTATGGAGGCGAATGGGAATGAAACATTTTAGCAGAAGAATCTTTTCTGCTAAATGAAATTTAATGGAATCCAGTGTAAAATAATTAAAATGGCATAACTAACCATTATACCATGACTAAAATCCATGACCTAATGCCTGGCTCTTGCTGAACATTTGGATGTGATGAACATATGCTGTAAAGGTATACTCCCTTGCACACCTATAACAGACATACAGGCTTGAATTTTTAAGAGGCCAGGGCAGAGCTTTGACCTTCCTAAACAATGATGCATTAATAAGAAGTACATTTCACTCTAGCCAGCTTGGCTCAGTGGATAGAACATCAGCCCGAGGACTGTAGGGTCCCAGGTTCGATTCTGGTCAAGGGCATATACCTTGGATGCAGGCTCGACCCTGGGTCCTGATCAAGGCAAGTCCAGGAGATAACCAGTCGATGTGTTTCTCTCATATTGGTGTTTCTCTCTGTGTTTTTCCTCCTCCCTTCCACTCTCTAAAAATCGATAGAAAAATATCCTCCGGTGACAATTAACAACAACAATAAAGTACATTTAAATGCAGAGGCACGGCAGGAGGTCTCTACAAAAATTCTTGATTGGGCAGCACAAGTTAATAAATACATCAGTGTTCTCCCATGTGTTACAATTTGTTATGTGCCCATTTCAGTATGTCTGCTCTTTTTATTTATGTAGTACAGATGGTGTTTTTAATAAAGTGAAAGTGATAAATGCACATTGTTGTTTTTTTTAAGAAAACTAGCCCCTTTCCAACTGAGAAACCACCTCCTGTAACCCACTTCCTGTTTGGCGAGATAATAAATGTCTTTATTAATGAAACTGGTTTAGTAGTAAATAGGAGTTTCTCTTCCCTGAAGCTGGAAGCATCGTAACTTTAGAGGTATTATTACGTTAAGAAATGTGAGCACCAGTGGCCATAGGCAGAAAAATGGGGAAAACACCACAAAGAAAAATTCAGAATGTGAGTAGAGCAAAATAGCAGGAGCAGCAGCTGAGAGGGGTGTGAGTGGTCCTTCATCCCCTGGGGATTCCCGGCGCTCAGAGCCACACGTCCACACTGTAACATACATTTATGCTAATGATATACCATTGTAATGTATTTTACATTGGGCTTCCATGGAGATTTCATAGGCCAGTATTCTCTTGCTAAAATTGTGGGCACCACATTTAAATTTTCAAGAGCTCTTTGATTATTCCATATTTAAAAAATAGCATACTGTTCTTGTTTCCTAGCTGCAATTTCTACCAATTTTCTCTCTAAAGATAGCTAGTTTTTTTAAGTTGGAGTTTTCTGCATTGAGCACTGTCTGCTTCCTTTGTCTTGGTCTCTGCCCCTTGGGTTGGCGGCTCCCCTCAAATGCCTGGTGATCCTTGGCTCTCCATGCATACTAAGTGTAGACACTCTACAGCTAGCTGGAAGCTGGGGTGAGGGGAGCTATCAGCCAGTCAGAAAGACAATACCTTATGATCTCACTTATATGTGAAATAATGAACGAAATAAACTGACCAACAAAATAGAAACAGGCATAGACACAGAGAACAGACTGACAGATCTCAGAGCGAAGGGGGGACTGGATGAATGAAGATGAAGGGATTAGCCAAAAAACGTATACATAACATATAGACACAGACAATAGTGTAGTGATAGCCAGAGGGAAAGGAGAGTGGGGACGAGGTGGAGGTGGGCAAAGTGAGGGCAAATGGGGATGGAAAGAGACTTTGCTTGGAGCAATGAGCCTACGATGCAGTGTGCAGATGATGGTTTATTGAGTTGTACACTTGAAACCTGTATGGTTTTGCAAACCAATGTCACTCCAATAAATTCACTTTAAAAATAAAACTTTACTATAGGGTGCTGTGCGGGGGAGGGTTTGAGCTGGATTTTTTTTTTTAATTTTTTTAAATCTTCACCCAAGTATATTTTTTTGTTTTGATTTAGATTGAGGAAGGGAGAGAGACAGAGACAAATATCAATCAGTTGCCTCCAGCACATGCCCCAACTGGGGATAGAACCCCCAACCTAGGTATGTGCCCTGACCAGGAATCGAATCTGCCACCTGTCTGTATAGGTCAGTGATGGTGAACCTATGACACGCGTGTCAGAGGTGACATGCAAACTCATTTTTGTGGCTGATTTTTCTTTGTTAAATGGCATTTAAAGATATAAAATAAATATCAAAAATATAGATCTTTGTTTTACTATGGTTGCAAATATCAAAAAATTTCTATATGTGACATGGCACCAGAGTTAAGTTAAGGTTTTTCAAAATGCTGGCACGCCGAGCTCAAAAGTTTCGCCATCGCTGGTCTAGGTTGATGCTCCAATCAACTGAGCCACACAGGCCAGGGCAATGAGCTGGATTTTTCAATGAAGGGCTCCCAAATGTCAGGATTATTCCTCTAAAGCCAATCAAGTTATCTTTCCTTGAGGCTTATAAATGTGGTTGTCAGCTTTGGTAAGGAGAGAATGAAAATAGAGCATGTATTTAATTCAACACTTATCACTCAACATCCAGAGTCTTTTGACCTGCTGGCTTTAGGGCAAACAGGTAGCTGGAGTAAAGTTAATCTTTGTGCCCACACTGCATTTTGTTTTCAGCATTAATGGCTAGTTTCATATTTGATCAGTTATTTCTGCGTTTTACCTTCTTTAAAAGCTTAGTTTTTCATCTGTGTTCTTCATTTCTTAGCACCTCACAGCTTCTGCCTTATAGTACACAGACATCTAATTTGAAATATTTTTAAATAGGGTTTCCTAATTGTGAGTACAAATTAGCTTACCCATACACCTGGACCTTAATTTCAGGAGTTTGTCTTGCCGAACCTTTCTTCCTCCTCCCCATCCACAGCCTCCTTAGAACCTCAGACCCCTTTCTAGTAAGTAGTTGGAAGTCCCCACGAGGGTGAAGGGCATGTATTCACCTCCTCAGCTGCTGTGTATTCTATTTTGCCCCATTCACCTTTTGTTAGTTTCCTTGGGATGTAATTGCATTACTAGAGGCCCAGTGCACAGATTTGTGCACCAGTGGGGTCCCTTAGCCTGGCCTGTGCCCTCTCACAATCCAGGACCCCTCAGGGGATGTTGGAGCCAGTTTTGGCCTGATCACTGCAGGTCAGGTCGAGGGACCCCACTGGTGCACAAATCGGTGCACTGGGCCTCTAGTCGATATATGTAAAAGCCTAAGTGAACGGCCCACCATCCAGTAGCTATGATGCGCACTGACCACCAGGGGGCAGATGCTCAACACAGGAGCGGAAACCACAGGCATGGAAACATGGAACAGACTAATAAATCTCAGAGGGAAGGGGGGAGGGGGAGGGCAAGAAGAGATTAACCAAAGATCTTATATGTATACTAGAGGCCCGGTGCACAGATT